AAAGAAAATTCCTTCCAGCAGCCAGATATAATAGAGAAGGGAGAGGAAAAGCAGAGGATGTGAAAAGCGGAGTCATGGCTTGGCAACCTCTCCCTAGGCTACAATGTGCATCAAGCAGAAAACTGGATTGATGAAGTGCTTGGGGCAATTAGAGCTACCTAAGGCTCTCTGAGCTGAAATGCTCCTTCCCCATCCATGGGAGCTTTTCCACTGTCTATTATAGATGAGCATTTTCCTCCTCACCTGCTTCCAGGGCAGCGCTGTCATTGAAGGGCTGGAAAATCAGCACTCTGTCACGGTAGGAACATGGAAGGTGAACTGAGGCAGAAGCAACACGTTCCTCACCTCCACACCTCCTCCACTGGGGCTGAAACAGAGTCAGCAGTGGAAATTCTGGACCTGCTCTCAGCACCGGAGCGAGCTGTGGCATCTCTTGAGCTGGTGCCAAGATGCAGACGGGGCTTCAGCCCTGCAGCAGAGATCAGCTCTCTGAGCAGGAAAATCTCCGTTAGGATGTGGATGAGTCTGGGCTGAACCCTTCCTGAACTGAACCCTTTTCCTGCATGTGGGCATCAACCATCCTTCTGCATCGCCCAAATGGTGCCGGTTTATATCCACGGCCCTCACTGGAATCTCACACAAATAACTGCTTGATTTCTAAAGCATCCCTCCCATGAGCTAAAATTCTTATGTCCTGTACAGCTATATCTATATATATCTTTTATATATAAATCTGACACCAAAATAAAGCAGCACTGAATGAGCACCCTGGCTTCAAACTTCAGCCAAGTCAAGAGACATTGGAAGCTGGACCTGCCTCCAAACTCCACGGCTGACAGGCCCATCTCTGACTATAAAAGCCAATATGAAAACAAAGAAGAAACCAAATAGCGTGGCATCTTCTTGCTTTGACCGCAGCCTCCCTGGGGCAAGGGCTGACTTTTTGTTCTTCTCCAAAAGGAAAACTTTGCTGTCTGCAAATAAGGACCTGAAGCAAGAACTAGGTCAGGACTGTCTCGCTGTGGAAAGAGGCAGAGAGGACCAGAGCTCCTAGGGGACTGTTTGGGCTTGTGGTGTCTGGAGCGGTGAGCAGGAAGGGAGGTAACAACTGTGGCCACAGGGAAGATTAAACTTCCCCTTTCTCATTCCCCAGTGCCACCACACGTCCTCATGTCTCTGCCAGATCTGCTGTTCCAGACATCTGGTGCCATCAGCAGCCTCCTCCTTAACTTGCCATGGTCCAGTCCAGCGTTCCAGGAAGTGGCCACAAGGCAACTATTCCTGGTAGTAATTCCTTACACCGCAGCATGTTTAAGGGGTCCTGGGAGGGATGGGATGAGCGGATTTAGGCCAAGAACTTAGGCATTTGGCCAAAAAAACCTTCTAGCCCTTAGGCAGGTCAGGAAATGAGATACGTTGGGGTTTGGTAGGATGTTTGGTCATTTCACACTGAAAAAAACAAAACCTATCATTGTTGTGGGGTGGAAGACATTGACATTTCTTAGCTCAAAGTTGCATCTCTCAGTTTGAGCTATCCTGGTCACATCAGGAAACAAATGCTTTTGGTTCCCTAAACAGGAGATTTTTTTTGTTGCCGTCGTCATTTTTCTAGTTTCAGTCTTTCTCAGCAGCATTTCCTCTTCCTCCCTTCTCTCCAAAATAGCAGAAAGCTGCATCCTCCTCCCCCAACAGCCCTTGAAAGGTTTCAGTTACACTCAGCACTTCTTTCCATCAAGAAGTCCTATGCAGGAAAGGTCCCCACAGACCCCTTGCAGAGAGGCACGCTCAGTGATCAAAGCTCAGCGATCCAAGATTGCAAGCTCGGGGATCAGCTAACTTGGTGGCCCAAGGCAGGTAATGCATGGGTCCCCTTCAAATATGTGACAGGCCCTGCTGGGCTGCAAATGCTTTTCCCAAACCCCCATCTCCCAGCTACTCTGTTCCTCTTTCTCCCAGAGGTTGTGATGGAGCACAAGACCTCTGTCCCACCTGCAAGCATCATAGACCCTTTGCAGCTTCGGTTCCATGGGAAGATACCAACCTGAGGTGGCAACTACACAGAAAAAAACAGCTGTGGTTCAAGGAGCGAGTCAATTGCCCAAGGGCTGAAAAGAAGAACATGCTCTGGGTCCCAGAGCAGCAAGCGCCTCAATTCCTTAACCCTTTCCCTGGCTGAAGCCAGAGTTCCTCCTCCACATACACCTCTAAAACTCCTCTGAGGAGTCGCTGGAGTGGAGTTCATGTTTCTGTCAGCAGCTCCAGGAACATGGCATGATCCTTATCCTATTGTGTCCCACTGCTGAGGTGCCCTGGGGCAAAACGGCTCATCCTGGTCAGAGGCAGAGCCGACTCCGAAACATCTCAGCAGCTGACGGGCTGGACTGACACTCGCTGATGGATGGCAGCTTTCTGGGCAGATGCTTCCTGGGCTGCCTGCCTGCTCGGAAGGCCTGTGTTGTCTTTGAGGCTGGCGTTTCTTCCTCTGGGTAAATATTATCTGCATGTTTGTGTGCTTAGGAAAGGTCACCTCAGGCTGGGCTGAACAGCTGGCTGGGAAGTTTGTGACACTTAGTCTCCTCTTTCAAGCTTCTTGTACTTCCCTCCCTGGATGCCAATGATTGCCTGATCCCAACCTGGACCTGCTCTAGGACCAAACTTACTCATTAAGCCTGCCCAGAGCTGGCAGGGCTCCAGCACATGGGATGCACCAGCCTCTGAACCACAACAAAGAGCAAAGCCCAAGAGCTCATTCCTTCTTCCTAGCTCCAGACATCCTTCTCCTCTCTGTCTTCTCCAAACCTACCTGTATGTGTGTGACTGTGGCTCTAACCTGCACACAACCTCTTCAGAGAGGAATCCAAGCCTTTGGTAGGCAGAGCATGGCCTGCCTGTGTCCTGCTAATATCTGCTGCCACGTGGTCTCCTGTCCAAGGAGGTGGTACAAGGCTTGCAGAGGACAATATTAGCGAGAGGCTGACATGCCACTGCTATGTGCATGCATACGTGAGTGTGGGAGTCCTCCCCATGCATTTTAATGCATTAAATCATTCGGTATAGGATCAGACCTGCCCGGACCTGGAAAAACTGACCTTCAAAGACTAATCTCACTGGGAAAACAGCTAAGAAACTATTCTGAGTGGCTTTTCTGGAGAAGGGACAAGATAGAACAACTTAATTTAGTCCATAAGGGATGAATGGGGACCTTTGCCAGAATTTCCCGCATTCCCTAGGACCCAGGCATCCAATCAATCCAAGCTAAAACTAGGCAGAGAGCATCATGCTTCCCCCCTTCCCACTCTTTCTCAGGGTCTGTCCTTGCTTTAGCGCTGAGCCAGAGACCACCATAGAAGGACACTGGGTACATCCCATGCTTGTGCAGAAGAATAGGGCAAGGCCCCATGCCAGCTCTCCTCCTCCCCATTAATCACTGGGAAGAAAGAGGCAGATGTCTCCCCGGGGAGTTTGGAAGGTAGCGCAGAGGAGCAGGGCGAATCAGGTCTCTGCGTATCCAACAGGGCAATTATTTATGGGTGATCAAATATTGGCTCTGGGAACCCTGTGCCATAAACAACGACCCGTGCCAGCCCACATGTTTACCAGGAAGGGCATGGCTCCGAATCCAGCACTGCTTCCCACTTGGAGCAAGGGAAGTACAGCCTGCTTCAACATGATGCATGACTTCACCGCCTTTTCCTTGGGGAACCAAGCAAGGAGTTATGGAGTTCAGAAAACCTTGCTGGTTAAGAGCATGGAAGGGATGAGTGGTGGCTGGTTCTGACGTGTGGCTGCAAAGGTGCTCATTGCAATAGCCTCGAGCAGAGGAAATATCTGCAGCTCGTGCTCAACCGCTCTCTGAGCTTTCACACTCTCACCTCTGCAAGACCCTAGCTCCATTTCCTGCACATCAGGGTAGGCTGGCCCCGTGACACAAATAGCAGCAAGGTGGCAGCAAGCAATGCTTGGTGGAGATGCCCATATAAGAGCAAACTCTAGCTCCAAATCATAAACGAAAATCTCCTCTTTCATTTACTCATCTTACTCCGTGCTGCAGGAGCTGATAATGCTGGTTTCCTTTTAAGTGGAGCCTAGTCATAAATAAAATAAACCAGGCATGCTTTGTGTTTCCACCAGGTTTCCTTTCATCCTCGCTCCCCTCAAAGCAGCTCAAAAGGAAAGTCCTAGGCAGGGAATGGAGCTACACAGGGGACATCAGTGGCTCCTTGGTTTGGCCTTGTTTGCACTTCCTTGTCCCCATGGGCAGGGTCACCTTCCTGTTGCACCACGATGGGGAACAGCACTCCAAGAGAGGCAGACACTTGGCCCACGATCGCAAGGGAAGTTCATGGCACTGCCCAGAGCTGAACCAAGATCCTTCTCACACTCGAGTGTGAACACCCATAAAAGCAGAGCCTGGATCCCGTAGCTCCAGCCAAGCCATTGCCTAGATGACCGCCGAGGGAAAAGACATTCCCTCCCCTTCCCCAGGCTTATTGCCTAATTGGGAAGACTGTGGGACACACTAATGATAGCCCGAAGAATGGAAAATCTGACAACTGCAGTGACCACAGAAACCTCCAGCGATGAGGCTGTTCCCTGGGGCTCGGCGCCTGCTTAGGGTCTGTGGTGGAGATGACACTTTAACAGCGTCCTTGAAACTCGGTCAACAGGAGGTGCCGCAGTGACAGCGTGTGCCTGGCAGGGTTAGCTTTTGCCTGTTTCTCTTGCCACCTTGCAGGGTGTGATGTTTTTCTTTCCTTGGTCTCCAGGGATCTCTCAATATTCAGACGGAGCGGTCGCAATGGGCCGGCTCTGCAGAAGTTTTAAGCTGAAGCCTCTCTAAGGAGAGTGTGTGAGAGCTGCAGATTGCGAAGCTGATCCAGCTCCCAGAGAGTGGGAGGCAGAGCGGCGGTTGCATCAGGCTCCTCTTGAATTAGATCCATGTGCGATTTTTACAGTGATTTTCATTTGTCTTAGAGAGCTGCCCGGAGTCTCCAGCCCTCTTCTGGTAAGCCCCACAAAGCAGGGCAGGATGAGAGGATGGAAATGTGGAGATGCCACAGACTGTTACGCTGAGGTTTAACCCAGAATGATTGCATCCTTTGAGACGATCCCAAGCACAGCAATTCCAGTAAAGGCAGCTAAGGTTGATCTGCAGGTCTGGGGGAAAGGGAATCAATGTTAGCTGGCTTAGGGATGTGCCAAAACCCTTCCTGGGGTAAAAGATTCCTGAGGGCGGCACGTACAGAGCGTCGGGCTGTATTCTAATTCCAAGGGGGAGTTTCAGGAATTTCCTGGAGCAACAAAAATCATTGTGGAGGAGGTATAAATAATGCAAGCAGGCAGATAGGCAAGTCTGGAGCAGCTTCACACAGGCATGTCCTTAGGGAAAGTTGCACACCCTGATCCTGCCTGGTGTGGAGGAGAACTGCAGGAGACCTATCCATCTCAGGGATAACCCGGACTCACCCTCTGAGGAGAGCTGGGACCTCCTGGTGCACCCGGACTTGGGGCATCTCCTTGCACGCTGACTATTGTTCCAGGGAACTTCTTTCTGCAACTCTTTTGTCCTAAAACAAAGAGCACTGGGTGTGGGGAAAGCCAGAGGGACTCTCTGGTTTATGTGGTTCTGGAGGCTAGAGACTGGATGTCAAGCTGGATTCAGATCCACGCTCTGCTCCTGAGTCTCTGGAGGAGCTGCAGTATTGCTTCTTCAAACTGCAGCAGTATCCAAAAGTCCCTGTTCACCTCAGATGGAGGTAGACACTGCATATACAAGAAAACACACTCAGAAGAACTCATGCTAAAACCTGAGCAGGTATCTGAACATCTGAATAGGATGAACAGGACCTGAACCGGAGCAGGGAGCAAAGAATCATGTTGTGAATAAATCACAGAGTTAGTCAGGAAAAGAAGAACATTTGTGCATAATGTGTAGAGAAAAGTACTACCATTAGTTCCTAAAAGTCCATTCTTTGTATTTGGAGACCTCTAGAGACTAATTAATCACACTTCCAGAAAAATGGGCCCATTTTAGCACGAAGGCCCTCGCACAAAACTCCCCATGGGGCAGCGCGGAGCCAAGCTCCTTGCTGAGAATTTCAGTCATTTCTTGAGTAGCCAGAGGAGATTAAAAAAAAAAAAAAAAAGAAAAAAGAAAAAAAAAACTTTGGGATGAATTCCCAAGAGCAGGACATGGATATTAGCTGAAAAGAAAGATGCAGGAATGCTCAGTCTGACAATCATTGGCCAGATGGCTGATAAATGCATAACCAGCTCTACTAATAAGCCATTTGATAACCACCAAAGTGTCACAACCCCTCTGTTTATCATCTCCTTTTCTACTCTACATTCCTTCTACCTTATCTGCATTGGTGTTTTGCTCACCCATGTGGCACATAACCAGGGCTTTGGGGAAGAGAGCAGGAAATGTTTAGATGTTAGAAGTCAACCATCCAGAGCTGCATTTAACATCCAAGATTTGGAACACCATTGCCCTCCCTTACTCCTTGCTAAGCAAACAGATGTTAAAGTGGCTCTTGCACAACAGCAAAAAGGCAGAATGTCAATAAACACGCACCCGTAAAACTGGCTGGTGTTTGGCCATCATTTGCCGGGGAAACATCTGTGTTTGCATCTTTCCCAAGAGCCTTTCTTACCACCAGGCCTCTTGCTGAAACGCCAGCTGGAAGCAAAGCCTGGGCTTTGGGAAGTCCTGACCCCAAATCTTACCTGATTTTGCCTACTAGTGAGGTGGATCTCGAAAGCAAGCAGCAAGATGGGATGCGGGGAGTGAAGATGCACCTAGGGGCTGCTGCGGCGGGCAGGGGCACTGCGTGGAGGCCGTGCCCTGGGCAGCCTGGCAGGGATGCAGCACGGCCGCCTGCTCTCAGCTCTTGCACGTCCCGATGCTGCCATCTGTAGCACGGCCGCGCAGCTCCGCTCCGGCGCCGCGGTGCCTGCGCTGCGGCAGCGGCTCTGCGCGGCTGCTGGGGTCCAGCGCTCGCAGCCCTACCACGTTTTACTTTCTTTATACAAAATCAGCCCTGTCCTCATCACTGCGTGTGGAGCCACGCGCTTGTGGAGGTGGCAAAAGCCTCCTGTGGCTCACAGCCACCGTGAACGTCACCTCCGTGCCAGCAAGGGTGAGAGCCAAACCTTCACATGGGAAGCAGAACGGTCTGGTCCGAGCCTAAGGGGGCAAGTCTCCGCCTGGAGCTCAGCTTTTCCAGCCCCCAGAGAGGCCGCTGGCCCGCTGTGTGTGCGCTTGGATCACATTTTTAATCAGCTGCCAAGGGCACCAGAGCCTGGGATAGTAGCTCTCATTCCACTTATCTAATGGAAACAAAACAAATGCGTTAAAAAACTTTGGCACTGTAGCCCGATGAGTGAGAAGGATTTAACCACAAAAGCCATGGATTCCTGCAGGACCATCTGTGGGGCTTGCCAGAGTACCCTCCATGCAGCGATGGGGGACAGCATGTGTTTTTAATGGAGTGGGCCTGCAAGGAGGAGGAAATGCATAGCAGTCCTTGAGCAGCTGGGCTCTGGATGTTGCTGCTTGCACAGGGCACCCTTGGGAGACACAGCAAGCTCAGAGTGGGGGTTTCCTCGGCAAACACGGATAACCAGGGCCCAGTGTGACCCTCTGCAGAAGGGCAGCCCTTCTCCAGAGGTTGTGCAGACAGTGGCCACCAGGAGCTTGGCAGCTTCAAGAAATGGAGGTGGGAAAGGCAGCATGCAGGGAAAGCGATCAGCGCTGCCCTTGGGGTTAAAACCACCCCCTCCAGCACACAGGACCTGCTCCTACAGCAGACCTGCCCACAGGGAGGCAGAAGGTGACACGCTGGGAAAAAGGGGTTTCCTTTCCTTCTCAGCCAGCACATCTGCTCCATTGGTCATGGTGAAGGGACCCAGGTGCTTGAGAGCCGAATCCCCAGCCCCAGCATTTGCCTTCCCACTAATCCTTCCCCTCACGGTCCCCCAGAATGGGAGAAGCTACGGCCTGTCTGGAGAGCCTGCACTGCAAGCAGGGTTGCAGCAACATCTCCCACATCTCAGGGGTGCACCCACCAACCATTTCATTGCTGTCCATGTCTCGGTGCCTTTCCACAAGAGGAAACATCCAATAAATGCACCCTGGTCCCAAATCCCTATGTTGTCCTCAGCAGAGAGGGGACGTGAGGGGCAGCAGTTGGACAGGGACCACGCTGACCTCAGTGCAGCAGCATCCCTAATCCCAAACCCCGCCAACCTGGTGGAAAAGAGGCTGTGACAGAGCTGGCATCAGCTCATTTGGAGTCTGACCCACGAGGGCCAGCAAAAAAGAAAACCCCGATAGCTCAGTTCCCGACACCATTGTCCCTGCAGTGCCAGGGTGGATTAGCACTGAACACACGAGTGCATTGCCTTTGCCTAGGATGGAATGGGATTTCCTGCTTCCCGTCTCCCTGCAGCGTCCCAAAAAGCTGCTCTCCGCCTGCTAATCCCGCACACGTGGCCTCCTGGCAGGCTCCTATATAGGGCTCGCCGGGCACCAAGTCACACTGGCGTGAGCGTGGAAGGGCAGGCAGCGAGATGGCACTGCGGGTAAGCACCGGGGAGCACCCCATGCAGCTGCCCCGGCCGAGGGTAACATCTGGGGCAGGTCACGGGGACAGGAGAGCTCATAGGGAAGGGCGAGAACCCCAAGCCAGAGACCAGGGATGCTCCTGTTAGCACTGCCCTTCCCTTCCAGGAAAGCCCAGGCTCTTTTAAATCCCATGTGGATCCTACAAGTTGGGCTTGTGGTTTTGAGAAAAGGCAACGGGATGGATTTTTGGTATCTGCTACTCCAAGGCCAATTTGGGGTAGCTCTCAGCTGAGACCAAAAGTCTGCCCTGTGCCTGTTGGAGCCATTGCTGGTTTTGCCTGTCTGGTGTGATTTGCTGTGTGTGTAGCTGGCATCGTCACTCCCTGTTTGAGACCCCACAGGCATCTCTGTCATCCTGGGCTGATGAGAAGTTACGACTGAGAAATATCAGGGAGCTAAAGTGCTGAGCTCTTGGGAGGGAGAGCCAGGCCTGGAGCTGCTGTGGTGAGATTTTCCCAGCGTGAAAAATACATTTAGGGGAGGGACATGCTCAGAAATGCAAAGATCTAAGAGAGAGACTGAAAATTTAAGGAAGAGCAAGCTGAAGCCAGGACAGGATGTCAGCAGTGGGGAAAGGAGGCTCTAGCCCCCATCATCCTGGTAGAACCACCACTACAGAAAAATCTATCCCTGATTTCAGCTCTATGTGCCTCTATTTTCAGAGGGAAGATGAATGGAGCTAAAAGAGTAGGGATTGACAGTGAACCTCTGTCTTGCTTGCTCGCCTTGGGCTCCCAAGATCAGGTCCGTTGTGTGGTTGTCATTACTGTTTGCAGGAGCCATAAACTCTCATCTGAGACAGCTGTGCTTCAATGACAACTTTGCATGATGTGGGGCTGGGGAGCCTTTGGCCAACAGGTCCTTGATGCCTGTGAAGAAATATGAGCCCATTAATGAGGGGAAGGGAATCAGATGATTAGAGTGCTAAAAAAAGGTGGGGTGACATGGCAAGCACTTCTTATAAAAATGACTTACTTAATAAGACTATGAATTATTCAAAAAGGGACATTTTACAGCTCATTTTATTCAAGTTTAACCTTGAAAACGGGGGGAGTAGAATAGGGAATCTGGCAAAGAGCTGTTAGGAAGAGGCATCTGTATAACCCAGGGTGAGAACATGGCAGATGCCACATTACATTCGTTTCTCTGATCAACATCTTACCATTCAAATCATTCTTCAAAGATTTCTGCTTATATCTCTTCAAATTCTTCAAGTGGGGAGAGGAAGCTGAACTTCTTTGTGTCCTGCCAAAGATGAACATAAATTCTTTTTTATTAAGAACCCTGACATTTCTCTAAGTTGATACAACATCCCAGGTGGGATTTGCTGCCACCAATGTCTGCTGTGCAGAGACGGGTTGAATTAGAGTAAGAGGGGAAAAAAAAACTCAAGAAAAAGCCAAACCTGCAAAGTTTGTTTCTCTCAGTGTGAGAAAGAGGCAGACACACAGAGTGTGTGGGAAGAGGGGATGAAGGGCAAGACAGAAGATGAGAAGGTTGATGAGAGCTGATGGAGGGATGAAGACACACAAGGGTGGCTGGAAGGGGGAGTGGAGCCAGGCACCTCTCCAGCTGTGCTTCCCTGACCTGCTCTTCCTTGGCAGTTCGAGGCCCTGTACCCAGAGGGGATGTGTCCTGGCTGGAGCGTCATTGTCAAAGGTGAAACGAGCTCCAGCACAAGCACGTAAGGGCGCTCTCCACAGCTCTTCCCAGGGAAGATCTCTGTGGATCTGAACCATTTTTCTCTCATCATTTCAGGTTTGAAATAAATCTCCTCTCTGATCCTGGAGACCAAATCGCTTTCCACTTCAACCCTCGCTTTTCCAGCTCCAGAATTGTCTGCAACTCGTTCTTAGCCAACCACTGGGGGAAGGAAGAAGTCAATAACATCTTCCCCTTTGAAGCAAAGGAGTCCTTCCAGGTACTGTGATTGGCCCCATGGGTCTCCTCTCTTAGGACAGAAGTGACTCTGTCTTATTCTTGAATTCTGTCCTTTCATAGAAGCCCAGGTCTGCTCTCACGTACGTGGCTGTAATTCAGTAATAACGCCACAGATTTCTAAGGCCAAACATCCCTCCTTAGCATCCTATTTGATCGCTGGCCTAAATTTGCAGAGCCATGGATGGGTATAAAATTCTGCTGTCTGAACACACAAAAGTCATCCTGCAAAAATCATAGTTCTCCTCACAGATCTAACCCTGCCTTTCCAGCCAGCACCATGCCCAGTAACCTCCCCTCTCTGACTGAGAGGATCTTCATCAGCATTTCTTTTGTCTCATTTTGCTGATGATTTCTGCACAATCCTGATGCAGATGTGCAGAGCTCCATCAATAATCCCCTAGCCCTGCATTTGTTTTCAATCTAAGCTTTGCCCTGGCTTCTGGCTAGCACTAAGTCAAGAACTTAATTATTCCTTCATTTGGCACAGAAAGACAACCAGTGCATGCGTCTCTTCTGGCAGGATTTGAAGCTGGCTATAGATGTGCTTGCCCAAATTTGAGAGCTCACTGAAATATGAGCAGTGAGGTCCAGAGAGGACATAGGCTTTCACCTGCTAACCCCAACCCAGTGTCTCTTTCAGGTTGAAATCTACTCTGACCATGACTATTTCCATATTTTCATCAATGAAAACAAAATCCAGCAATACAAGCATCGCCAGAAGAATCTTTCGTCCATCACCAAGCTGCAGATTCTGAATGATATTGCCATTTCTTCAGTGGAAATCACAAAACGGGGACTTTAGAGACTCAAGTTGGTACAGCCTCACAGTCCACTCACCCTTAAGCTCCTGATCCAGTCAGAGACCATCTATCACATGCCCTCTGTAGCAGAGACCAGTATGATGAGTGTAGGATCCTCACAGTGGACATTAACATCATTCCCATCACACACACACACAATACTAAGGCAGCATCAGTCACATAGCTAGTTGTGGTCCAGATCCCTGTAGACCTTTTGTTCCTATATCTGAGGGCACACAACACTATTTGTAGGAAGGTCTATAACAGCGAGGACGATTTATAGAAGAGCTTGTCAGATCACCATTGTACATAGAAGTCTGTCCTGAATAGCCCAAGACCTGAATGTTATCCAGAAATTGTATTAGGCAGGATATGACGCTAGTCCTCAGCTGGCCAGATGGTGATGAATGTAACGGGTGTGGATGTTACCAACAGAGAGGGGCATTTCTGGGAGCTCAGTAAAAATGTTTGCCAATAAAATCAAGCAAAAAACTCCCTGTTGAAATTTCATTTACTGGGCTCAATGAGTTGGTCCTTCTTTGAGATCCTCCAGTTGCCTGATACAAGCAAGGCATGAGGATAAAATCCAGGCCTTGGTTGTTTTCCCTCACTGCCTTCTTGCTTCGAGGGCTAACACGAAATCGAGGTCCTGTATAGGCAGAGCCGAGGGACAAGATTCAACTTGCAAGATATTTCCAACAGATTCTTTTTAGTAATTGAGAGTTATTTGCTCAGCCTTGATTCTGCCAACTCCAGGCAGATTAGACAGACTGCAAGAGTGATGAGGTGGGTCAGAAAAGGGATGAAGTTTAAAGGAACACATAACTGCTAGAACATGCACTGGAAATACAGGTGGAGTCTAAACGAAGATCTTAAGAGATCAAGGTGTAGAAATTATGGTAATGATGCTCAGAATGAACAGTGTCATTTTTCCTGTAGATAGTATATAATTTCTCTCTCTGCTCTATTTTCTTCTTTTTATCTCCTTTTTAGTCCTCTTTCAAAGCAGATCACTTATCCCTTGCACACTAGTCTCCTCTCTTTTTTCTACTTTCTCCCTTAGATGCAACATTTTTCCATTTCTTTTACCAGGCCACAGAAGGCAAAAAGACATTATATTTACTTAGTGTTAATTATGGACATCAAAAGAAGCATAAGGTCACACTATTAAATCGGAACAGGAACTTGCTCCAAAAATGCAATTACAGCTGCCCCCTAAATATTCCTTTGATCTTTAGACATATGATGGACCACATTCCTAATGGAAAGCAATAGGGAAAGACAACCACATGTCACCGGTTGTTTCCATCAAGAAGTTACTTGATAACCAGCCAGATAATAACACATCCTTGCTATTGAGTGCAATCACTGAAATTGCTAACTGCTCAGCAAAAGGCCACAGCTTTGCTCTGCCCTTTTCTCCACCCTTAAATTGGCCATTGCCAGTTCTTCTCTCTATTTATAGTCCCAAGGACCTATAAGGAAGAGGTGACCACATAGCCAACCACAATGCAGTATGGCACCAAGTTGACATTTATGAGTCTATTTAAAAGTCGATAGTATTTTTGCAGACTATTAAGAACACTGGCTGGAAGACATCCTGTTCTCATGTTTAAGAGTGCTATGGGAACGTCAAATGGTCCCGAATGGTACTACTTTAAGAAAACAGGCACAGACAGACAAGATCAGACCCACTGGTCTGATTTTGATAGGATTTTGATAAGGCTGAACTATTTGAAAGAAAATGCTCTTTTAATTAGTGCTTATTTAGGGTTTAATAGAGATTATTTCTCATGAAGGAAAAGTGATGAAGTGATTTATAATGGTAACACTTTATACTCATATGGCAATAGACTCCCTCTATAACCACTACTGCAGAAACATGCCACAACCTTGTTTACTCCAGAGCTGAGTACAAAAGACCACAGAAAAACGAGAAAAAATTATTTAAGCACAAAAAAACCAAAGAGATGTCACAAGAGATCAGGTAGCAGCAGAGATTATGCCACGACTCCTGCACACATTCACCACAGCTTGCTCCAGAGGCCGATCATCCTTAATTACCATCTGCCCAGAGAGAGAGCCCAATTGCTTCTGACACATCCACAGAGGTGCCGTCAGCGCCAGCATTTCAACCACTTCCCTCCTGCGGTTGAAGCTCCCCAGCCGAGCAGCAAAAGGGTCTTCAGCTGCAGCTTGCCACCTTTCTAGGCCCACGTGGCTGCAAGGCTGCAAGCTTTGGGGGCTGCACAGCATTTCTTGGGGGGAAAACTGCAGGGTTGACAGCTTACAGCTGCCTTGCACAGTTTATCTGGGAATAGATGCCCTCCAAGCGAGTCACCCTTATCTACCGTGAAAAAGAAACTCCAGAGAAAAATAAAGTCACACAATTGTGATGGTCAATTAAACTCTGTGGAGCTCAAGAGGTGGTTTGGCACATCAATGATGGCACAAAAGCATCATGTACTGGTATTCAGGCTATAGGAAAGAACAAATCAATCCTCTTCTTCCCTGTTTTAATGTTATTCACTATTATAGAGCTGGGTCCTGACACAGAGAAGGGAGATGATAGAAAAGAACTGCCCTAGAGTATTTTTGGAAAGTTCAAAGCTTTCTGAAGGGGAAAGAGCAGAGCCTGCCAGGGGCTTCCAGCTTGAAGTCTCTTTTTCTAACCTGAAGACCAAACGTATACTGTTGCTGTGGAACAGATGAGCAACAGCACAGGAGCCAGGCAAAGAGACTTTCAGAGCAGCTGCTGGAGGAGGATATCTAGACTGCCTGTCCTGGACAGGACCTGCCTATAAAGCAGGCATTGCTGGCCTTACTGCTCACATAAACTGGAGGGGGACACCTGAGAGAGAAAGCAGGGAGGGAAATGCAGGAGGAGACCTGTCGCTGGATGGGCTGTTTCCAAATGGTCTCCCCTTTTTCCATCCAGACAAAACTGCCCTGTTTACAGTCTTGGAGTCAAGCAGTCCTTCCTCTCTCCTGCTCTCCTTCAACCTGGCAGCTCTGGGGCTGCTGCAAGTGCTCCCCACCACTCCAAGAGCCCATCTCCCTCCTCCCAGAGGAGGATCAGCCACAGGAGCAACTCTCAGAGCAGTTGGAGGAGTCCCTCAATAAGACAATGGCTGCTTTTTGCTCATGCTATCAAATAGTCTTAACTCAGAGAAGTGGTTTTCATCATTTGGACAAGATCTGCAGAGCAAAATGAAGCACCTCGGTTGGTCTCCAGACCAACAGTGGAAAGAGAGCTCATAGTCCTGTGTGCTTGATCTGTGCCAGGAATCCCAAGGCCAGGGTCCCTTCGGGCACAGTCACAATGCTACAGAGCATCCCTTGATGTCACTGGCCTTCCTGACCATCCTCCCATGTGCTGGTAACCAGCACTGGCCATTTCCTCACAATCCAGCGAGCAAAAGGCTCCCACATCAGCAACATCTGCAACCAGCAGCCTGCAGACATCAGAATGACGTTCTCCCCTCCAGCCTTAGCCAGGGGTGACACAAAAAAGAGATGCTGGCAGGAAAGGCAGCGTGGCAGATGTGGTAGGAAAGGCAGCGTGACAAGGAGCACAGGCTGGTTGCCAACACAGTGGAAAAGTCTCCTAGGCAAGCATAAGAAAGGGGGAAAGTTAAATAGGTTTTGTTTGCCTCATACTTCACAGACAGCAGCAGATCTAGCTGAGGAGATTAAGTGTAGCCTGAATAGGGATTATTTTCTGAAAGAAGGGATCTGCTATAGAAATCGGGGAATTGGTACCCCTTTATCTGACAGTTGTGTTATTGTGCATCACCTCTGCCCAAGAAAACGACGCCAGGAATTAGCGTGACAAGAGCCAAGTTCATTGACCCTCTCATTCTGCAGCCTGTTCAAGAATGTCCTGCCATGATAGCTGAACAGTCTATCATGTCCTTTCCTCGAGCTATGTAAAACTGACTGATTTTTGGTTTTACTTAAGCACAAGCCAACAGCAGGACACTTTCTCTACCACTGACACAGTTATAAGGACTGTCTGGGGTCTTATATAGCATTTTGCATCCATAAAGTTCCAGATAAGCTATAAAGGGAAGGAAGCATCATAACAGCCTTGAAAAAGGGAGGAAACCAAAGCACTTGAGGGGAAGGAGGAGGAGGACAAAAAGGAATGAACAAAGCCATAGTTTGAGATTCATAAGAGAAGAAATAGCAACTGAATATTCTTGCCTCCAGTCTTGTGTTCTTGCCTTGTTCCTCATGTCCTGGCCACGTATTTTATAAGTTATCTCACCTGGGCCTTTTGATATATATCACATGCTGCTAAAGAGGCTTAATAAGCCAACAGGCTCCATTCCAAAACACCTGCTCCCGATCACCTCTGCTATAGACTCAGCTACTAATTAGCATTTCTTTTAGCTCCCTTGTTTCTTTTTCCAGCCCAAGCAATGGTCAAAGAGCCAGAAACATCCCTCTGTTTTCTTTCCCTCTCTTGATACATGACTTGCTCAAAGCAAGGGTTTTGCTATTGCTATGTGCTTTATTGCACCAAGAGCTTACCGGGCTTGAAAGCTGGGAGCAAAACCAAAGCAGTTATTTCAACTTCTAACCTCAGCCTTTGTGCTCCTGTCACACTTCATTTCTTGAAGCCGTGCTGTGAACATGCACTGGAACTAGAAAGACAGACATGGTCAGTGGTGATGAGAGCGCCCTGATTGTGCTTGGAGCAAATTGCCCGAGTCTTTCTAGATGAGTCACTGGACAAAGAGAGGTTACGCAGTATTCCTCGAGAGAAAAAGTTGGTAACTGATCCTGATGGAGCTTGGCAGCCTCCCAGAATCCCTGTCTACCTAATTTTCTATGCCTCTAGTTGTGAGGACTTCTTTTAAAAAGGTGCCCCCCAAAAAAGCCATCATTCAGACTCACAGCCACTTCTTGCCCTTCCACACAACTGACCTCCTTTTTCAGCCCACGAAGTGGAGGTCCTAAAGACTGCCTGCTTAGGAACACAAAATACAACAAGGTTCATTTTTAACACAAATCATCTCATACCCAAGCATTTTTTTAATGAATAAAAAGTTCCAGTTCTTATTGCAACCTGATCCCAGTCATAGCTAGTTTGCAAAAACTACCTGCAAAGTATCATCAAGGCTAAGAGTAAACCATCTCGCTCAGAAGGACAAACTCACTCTCTTACCATCTTCTATAAAAGCTCTGCTCCCTGAATCTCCTCCCTGATGATAACATATTTGGGTTCCAGGAGCATTTTTTGCAGAGCCTTTCCTTCCTGCCTCTGTGCTTTTCCCTTCAGCTTCTGCAAGCTGGTGCAGCTGGGAAGAGGCAAACAGTGGTGAATTTAAAGCCTTTGTCAGCAACTTCCCCCAGATGGCAATCAGCTGAGGGAAATGAAGCCGCTTTGTTATGTAAAAAGCTCCTTATTGCCTGTTGCACCTGGTTAGAGAGTGCCATGGCAGTGAGATTACACTGCAAATTCATTGCACTCAGGTATGAGGATGGAGAAACCTGCCTCAGCAGCCCCTGCTTGGACCTGTTTCATCTGCCTCTCTTCTGGGCAGTGTCAGGGAGAAGCTGCCTGGATCACTAGCATTGTAGCAGGGTAGAACTTATCTATAAACCTGGCCTCTGAGTTAGGGATCTACCGGATTGATTTCTACTAAAAGCTCTTCTTCGTAGTTGCACAGCCCATCTCAGTCCAGTGACTTTTGTTTTGATGAGAGAGCATTGAATTCACTTGATTGTTCTGTTTTCTGACAGGATTTCTTCAGCAGTAAATTTAGTCCTTTTAGTAATATATCTGTTCTGGATTTCACCAGGTTGCTGCTTGCCTGCACTTCCACACGAGCCGAGAGAGAAGATATCAGAGAGAGAGATTTTCAGTCACACTAAGGCTAAAATGGTGTTTCAGTGCTCTTGAGGCTGCAAACGCCGTATCAGATTCTTCTGTATCCATACTCTTCAGTAAGAGAGCACATTATCTTTTGATTTCAGCCCTACATTTCCAGAGTACTCAATCTCCAAGGCTTCCAATAACAAGGACAGAAGATAAAGAAGTTGGCAGATATCTGTTTAGGAAAACAAGCAGCAGCGAATATTCTCAGAAATAAAAACACACACGTTCTCCGCTTCAAATCCTCAAAAGGACCCTTGAAATAGTTTAAATGTTTTCTCCTTTGATGGCAGAAGAAGAATAGTGGGAAAAGAAAGGGTTTTGCTCTCCGAAGGGTAATTACAAGCCACGAACATCAGTTCCCAGCTGTTTGCTGTTTGTTTAGTGATTTTATTTGCAATGAGTCTGAAGTGCACTTGGCTCCGCGCGCGGCGTCTTTGGCTGCTCGGCCCCTTGTCGCCCGGCGGATCCGCGCGTGTCACCGCGCTGGCATCAGCCAGTGCTGGCCGGGCACAGGCCACCAAGCCAGGGCGAGCTCCGTGTCCCCGCTGCAAGCGCGGGGACGGGCGGCGCCGCCACGGGGCTGCGCAGGGACCAGCATGACATGTAGACATGAGTTTTAGTATTATTTCTCTGTATAGAAAATACTAAATAAATACTAAAATAAATAAAGGCCTGTGTGGGTGGCAGCAGTAACAGGGTCTCTAGAAGAGAGGGGTGAGGTGTGGCACAGGGACAGATCTAAAAGCCTGGGGATCTTTGCAAATCCCATCCCATCCATCTGCTGGGCAAGCATAGGGGAAAATAAAGTAGATACAGCCTCTGATCCTACTGCTCCAAAGCGGAGTATCCAAAGGACCATTAGGAAATGCAACAGAGAGCTAAGCTAAGCTAAGAGCTTAAGCTAAGAGAGCTGCTGCAAAAGCAGAGTGCTGTTTGCTCAGATGCCACCCCATAAGGGGCTGAAGCAGCGTTGCTGCTAGGGCAGGCACTGGCAAGGGGAACACACACCCATCAAGGAGAAAACTCATCGACCAGCTGGTCTCTTCTGCAGCAAGGAGGACAGTTGCCGTGTGGAAGGTCCCCAATCCACTATAGTTACACGCACAACCTGAAAAACTGCCCCACTTCCACGTGCAGTCTGTGAATCTGGTCACCAGCATAAACCAGAGAAGCCACAGGCTTCCCTTGAGCTCGCACCAAAGCAGGGACTCCCCAGCACCGGGGACGTTCAGAGCACGTCGCGTTGGCCGCCTGACTTGCAGCTCTGGGGCCAGCCCCACGGTGCAGCCGCCGCAGGGAGGTCGTGCTGAGCAAGCAGTGCTGAACCCCACTGCCCTGGGGCTCGGGGGAACCCCTCGTGATCAACAACCTTGTCCTCTCCGGCACAGCCCCCCGATCGCTTGGTAACACATGACTTGGCGTTTCGGAGTTGGGTCAAGGGCTGCAAAAGCAGAGTTACTGCCCGTATCCTAATTATACCATGGCACCTTAGTAATCTAATCTCATCTAATCTAATATTTTAAACCTTTCTTAGCAGTAAATTATTGAATTTACAAATAGAGTCTGTGGGGGCAACTAATATAAAAAATAATTGTATTTATTAGCTTGGCCATTTGGTAACTACCTGGACAAAATATGCTTCAAGGCCCGTGCACACTTCTTAATTCTCTTCTCTCGTACTCAGTTAATACTGTTAAAACTTTGACTTAAGCATCTTCATTTTGTTGTTGTTCTTAACGACAGTCCTGCTTTAGGGGGCTTGGGCAACGGGTGGCAAGGGCTTGGGTGCTGGCAGATTTCCAGTTACCAGCTTGAACCCTGCCCTGGCTAGCTGCCTCTTTGCAACAGATCTATTTGCTTTTGCAGCAGCTGGGAAACTGCAGCAGATTTTAGGTATCCATGAGTGTATTCAGGTATTTCACTGCATCAAATAATGTGTACCTTGTGCTCTGGGCAACACACTATAATTAGTTTGTTGAAGCTGTTTGTCTCTGAAGATCTATAAATATGCATACATAAAACTATATGGGACTAAGCAGTCACACGCTTCAAGCAAATGTATTCTAATGCAGAGGAGCTTTATACCCTGAGCACATTTGGATATACACCCAAATGTGACCCCATTGCTGATCTTTCTTTCATTTCACATTGGGCTGACCAGAAATATTTGCTTTCTTCTCCCACATAAATACACTAAAATATATGGAGAGTTTCCCACTGGAATCAAGGGCATTCACCATTCAGTGACAACCAGTCTCCATCTGGGCTGCGTTTATTACTTCATTCTCTCTCTGAGAAGGCCAAGAAAGAAAATAAAAAATAAACACCTCAGGCAGACGTATCAGTTCCTCTTATCAAATACTTTCCCCTTGTGATTCACTGACTTCATCTGAGTACCTCCAGTCAAAAGCTTCATTGAACAAAAGCTTCATTTAACAAGCTAACCTTGTTCCCAACCAAGCCTTTCAACCCTTGCAAGTAACTTTTCCCATGATCAATTCTCCCCATTCCTTGCCTTCAGTTTAAGGGGAAAGACAAAAAGCCGTGTTTACTTGTGCAGTGCTCCTTGCTCTGGTGGGTTCCTGCTACCCCAAGCTGTGTTAACCACTTGCTTATGCGGCTCTGCTCAAAAGCTCAAGGAAGGAGGATGGATAAGGGGTTAGAGCATGGGTAAGCACTAAAGTGTCTGGATATTTCTCCATTCTGCTGTAACTGAACCCAAGACAGTCCATATCCATCTCAGGCCACCTTAATTTCTTCTGCTGCTCGTGGGTCAATTCACTGCCTTCTCTTTTAGTCCTGATAGAAGGATTTAGGTGAGGAGCTGAATTTACTTTTAATTAAATGCAAATCAGGCTAAAAAAAAAATTCCTTCAGAAGACACAGCCTTGCAGGGCCAAAGATCCTCGTCTCCTTTCCAAGCCAAACAAACAATCCTGCCCAGTATAACCAATGCCTCTGTTGATGCCCTTTGCGAGTGTGTGCAGCGGGGAGAGGACCCGCAGGTCCCAGCCAGGAACATGCAGGCACGAGTGGGAAGGGAGCACCAGGAAGAGCCCGGTGAGGTGCCCGCATGCAGCACGGTGAGGCAGCCGTGCCACAGCTGGCAGCAGGAGGCACAGGGCGCACCGGCCCGCGTTGAAGTCCCCAGTGGGGCTAGCAGAGCTCCGGTTCTCTCATTCCTCCCCGCCAAGGAGCGCACGGCAGCGGTGCTGCCAGCCTGGCGGTCACTGCCTGAGATCCTGCCCGGATCGGGCGCTGTCACCTGCGTCCTGCCCGGTCCCTGCCCGGTCCCTGCGTGTCCCTGCCCGATCCCTGCTTGTCCCTGCCCGGTGACAGCTCGGGCGGAGCTGTCCCTTCAGCACCACGAGCGGGCACCGGGCGCGGGGCAGGGGGTCCTTCCCGAGGGGGTGCGCGCAGAGGCGCGGTGGGTGCAGATGAGGGGGTGCTCGCACGGGCAGGGGGTCCCCGCGACGTGCAGAGGAGGAGCAGGCAGGGTAGGGGGTGCGGGGGGTGGGTTGGTGCGCAAGGGAGGCTGTGCAGGCTGTTCGGGGGGGTGCAGGGACCTGCAGGAACGCGTGTGCACAGAGAAGCGCGGGTCGGGAAGGTGCTGGCACTGTGGGTAGGGAGGGGTGCGTGTGCGCGGGGGCTGGCTTTGCAAAGGGGTCTGCACGCGGCATGGCGGGGTCTGCAGGACGGGTCTGTGCGGGCGCTGTGCGAGGCTGGGCTGTGCGTGCGGGAAGGGAAGGGAGGCGGCGTGCGGAGCTCAGCGTGTGCGGGGCGGGCTGGCGGGTGTGTGTGCGGGAGTATCTGTGCGTGCGGGTGTATCTGTGTGCGTGTCTGTGCGTGCGCGCGTGGCGGCGGGTCCTGCGCTGCGGGCACGGGCAGAGCCGCCGGCTGCGCGGCCCGCGGGAGCAGCCCGGCCGCCCCGTCCCCGTCCTCGTCCCCGCTCCGCCCGGTGAGTGCGGCCAGCGCCGGGAGAGGGGGTCGGGGCCGCCCCGGGCAGGGCGCCCCGCGCCGGGACACGCAACTTTGCCGGGAGGGAAGCGGGGACAGGGCGGGGGCGGCTGCGGGAAGAGGCGGGGGGCAGGGGCTCGGGTCCCCCCTTCCCTTCCCCACCCCAAAAGCTCCAGCGGCCCCGATGCAGGCAGGCAGCTCCGAGCGAGCGCAGCCCCTGCCCCTTCCGCCCTCCTCGGCACTCCCAGCTGCAGCTCAACTAAGTTGCCGAGAAGCCATTTTCGACCCGCCACCCTCCCCAAGCAAGGAAAACGCTGCCAGGATGCACTCTGATCCCTGCTCCACTCACCTTCTTTTCCAGGCTCAGCTGGGGCCAGCTGAACATGCCAGCATCGCCATCGCAGGCACT